GTGATAATGTGAGAAATGTTGAAGGTGTCTGAATAAATTTTAGTTTGACTGTAGGGTGTTCCCGGCTTTATAAATTCTCATAACTTTTAACACTTTCAAAACTTTGCATTTGAATCTAAAATATTTTCATAGGGATGTGCGGGTCTAGTCGACTAAACAGTGCATCTCCTACTAGTCGACACTGAAAACAATAGTCGATTACACGACAGAAGAAAAAAATAAAAACAAAAACATGATTTTATCATTCAAATTACCATCATTTTAACCTCCTGGGGTTGACGGTGGTGCCGGTGTTGTGCCGAATTCTGCACCCCTGCCAGATTATGCACCCCCTCGTTGAAGTCACTACTTGATTGCCTAACCCCACCCCCAATCCTAAACCTACCAATACTAGGGGGTGCATAATCTGGCAGGGTGCAAATTTCGGCGCTACACCGGTGCTGCGATCCCATCCGCGCCGTCTATTCCTCTAATGAACACCCACTTCGGTGGTGGTGCGGGATGTCCAGGCGCTTTCGGAAACTCTATCGGCTTGCTTTTCGTTATCTCTGCGTGCCTGCGACTTCAGTTCCTGCCGAGCGCGTTTTTTCAAGTGCAGGAATTTTATTGTTAATCGCCTCAGGTCCCGTCTTTCACCAGGCCACGTTGATAATTTCACTGAACAAATAACGCATGGTCTGAGTAAGTAAAATGGGCATTGTTGCATTGTTTTGTTTTTAGACGATATAACCTACACAAAGTACGTTTTTAAAAGCCGTTTTAATGCTATTTGTTGATAAACCTTCCTATTGTTTTTGACTTGTGTTTTAATATGTTGGCTAACGTTATATGAAGATTAAGAATTCTGTCAGGCTATTGATTGATTTTCCATTGTTCTGCATTTCCCCAGCTGATTTGAATAAATAAACTATGCTTTGGCCGACGTTGAGTGTATGCTCTTCTTTTATTTATTTTTAATGACCGCCTAAAATGAAATGATGATAACACGAGGCAAGTGTGCGGCAAGCGGAATTCATTGAGGGATTTGACAGTGTGATTCATAGATTAAGTATTTCAAATATAGGCTATTATATATACTACACGCACGCACAGAGGGGTTTTTCTTTTTGGGGGGTTTCTTGCTTTTAGACTAGTCGGATACAAAACTTTCGTTTAAACGACAGTCAAATTAATCGTTGCGCACATCCCTAAATAAAGTATTCATAAAGTCTACACTTTTGTCCTCCAAATGTATTCCAAATTTCACCACGTCTGAAGTAACAGAGATAGATAGATAGATAGATAGATAGATAGATAGATAGATAGATAGATAGAATTGTCACAGAGATTTGACGATACGAGTATCGATACAGCTGGCCCTGTATCGATATTGTGGCACGTGTGCAGCTGTGGACCACGCTTAATTTTCATTTAGCTTTTTTTTTCTACAAAAAAAAAAAGGGTCAATTCTGACTTTGCTATGACAATCTGGCGCTTCTGAATCAGCGACCAAGTATGTTTTGTTACTAGTTTAAAATGTACAGTATTTGAAAAATAATGTGTTTTTTGAACATTAAAGCATGTCAACATATTCTGTTACACCAAATACATAAAATAATGATCTTTAAAAAAGCATCATATGACCCCTACAGCGCGTTAGTTTTTTTTTTATTGTAGAGAGTGTGTTAATTTGTGCAATAATAACCTACCAGCAATGTAAATAATTTTTTTAACATATTAGAAACTGTTTTACAAAATTCTGCTGAGGTGAAATTCAGTGCAGTCATGTATCGTGATACGTATCGTATCGTGACTTTGCTGGTGATACACAGCCCTAATAGATAGATAGATAGATAGATAGATAGATAGATAAATGAAAACCAGGATAATAGCAGGACAGTTTTTAACATTAACTCAATATTTGGATATGTATTTCCAAAAACATTACTAAAAAATAAAGTAAAGAACCTCAGGGGAAAAAAATGTCTTGTTAAAATGAGACATGACATAGCAACACAATTAATTAACCCAGTGACCAGTCCATCCGTCACAGCCTCGTTTTCATTAACGAAAAAAATTATAAGAGGAATAAACGGAGTAGCGGCCCGTTTTAAACGCAGTTAAACGACTTCTTATGTTAACAGCTGTTTCGTAACGTTGCCTGAGTAAACAACATTTTAATAATGAAGTAGAGTCACTCTAGTACTGCACACCTGTCAGTCAGAAACAGCGCAGTGTCCGCGCCTCTCACCTCGCAGCTTGTGTTTAATCGAGTCTGCTAAAGCTCTGGATAATGTGGGAACCTCCTCGGGATCGTACTGCACTCCATACAGCTGCTCCCTCAGGATTTCTCGAATGCACTCTTTCGCCGCTCCTGCCTTGAACCTACGGGGGGAAATTAACGCAAACGGTATTTATATAAAGTTCAGCAGATGTTTACGTAAACACTTCTTCATAAATGCAGTTCAGAAGCACTCAAATCCAGCCTTAAGCTTCGCTAGCTGCTATTTTAGCCGGCTAAGTTAATCGCAAAACGCTTAAACAAGAAGAAGGTCGTCTTACTTGTCTTTATAATTCGGTCTAATGAGGTACGTGTTCGCTCCCGCGTCCATGAATGAAACGCTTCAGACGTTTAATGTGTGCAGCGGTACTTTCGCTTTACAGCTTTACCGTGGTTGTCATAACAACTCGGTTTCATCCGGGGAACGGTCTAACGTCATGGCGTCATAAGCAACGGGTGCTGCGTTCGCTTCAAACCACGAGGCGCGGATTTAAACGTCCTCAGCGCGTTCGGAAGAAAGTACATTCAGACATAAAAACATTGGTTATCACATAGATCAGTGGTAACAACACGTTTATACATTCGCGTCGACTTAAGTCTGGTTTCTAGAAATAGCCTAAATAAATTCATATCGAGTCTGGAGGACATAAATTAGTTATCAAACAGTAAAACCAAACTGGCATTAGGGTGAGCTGATATAGGCCCAATGAAGGTAGGTTTTATCTGAAAAGTTCAACTGTGATCTTAGAGCAAGGGAATTTTCCATAAATGTTAGGTTTGGGTAGGCTTTATTTTGTTTGAAGATGTTTTAAAGGGGTCATATGATGCTTTTTTAAAGATCATTATTTTGTGTATTTGGTGTAACAGAATATGTTGACATGCTTTAATGTTCAAAAAACACATTATTTTTCAAATACTGTACATTATTGTAGGTCCTCTATGCCCCGCCTCTCTCAAACACGTCGTTTTCTACAAAGTCCCTCCTTTGACAAGCGCAGTCTGCTCTGATTGGCCAGCTGACCCAGTGCATTGTGATTGGCCGAACACCGCAAGCACGCGTCGGAAATGTAACGCCCCTTACCATAATCGCGAGCTTCATCTTTCAAAGTAAATATCAAGACAGTTAATAATGTCGTTAGTTTTACCATCAGTTCAAACCCGAAAGGGTCTTTTTACAGATCTTCTTTATGCACCAAGAGCTTGTAACACTCCAAAGAGAAAGGAAAACTTGAAATCGCATCATATGCCCCCTTTAAACGTTATAATTCCATGCCGTCGGTAAGCTGTAACGTTAAGTCTGTTTTGTGGCCGTTTACACGTACACACGTCTGCTATAAAGTCACCCAAACACTTCCTCTGTGGGATTGTGAAACTCAAGGTGGTCTGTCGGTGGTCTTGTGGTGAGATGATGTGTGAGCATGTGATGAGAGATGAAATGTAGGATCCACAGTCACATCACAAATATGCTACAGACCACCTTTTTAAAAATATGCCGTTTATTATAAAAATGACATCTTTTTAGATTGTGTTATTATTCTTAATAATAATCATATTTTTTTTATTTATTGATTCTTTTCTTTTTGGAAATGCCACATCTACTTTTTGGTTTCTAGAGATCTGAAAGTGAACAAAAGGAAAAAAAACAAAAAAAAACTGCTTCTACAAGTGTAATGACATTGAGTTCCTGTCTGTACCTCCCCCTGAAAGACGTAGGTTTTCTTCTAAACAGCATGTTAGTGCAAAGCATAAATCAGCAGAAACGGGAAGACGTTTGCATCTCCGGTTCACTTGCTCCGTTCCTTCTGCAGCATGAAGTGTGACCTCAAGAAGAAACTCTTACTTTTTTCATTCATGTTGTACTTGATCCTTAACGGTGAGTAAAAGAGGTCACAGCCGTTTTGGGGTTTTGTATTTCCTCTCTGTTGAGTTTTTGTTCCTGGCTGTTGATTTGTACGGTATTTTCACTTCAACTTTACGAAATGTTTCTCACATTAAGGGACGATATAACAAATCTGAACGCTTTTGTGCACTCACAAATGCTTAAAAAAGAGTGAGTTTTATTGCATCACATATCAAATTTTTCTTCATTTTGAACCATAAATCTGATGAACAATTGTGCCTTTACACTAAGCGTTTTTAAGTGTTCAAAACATTTTGAGCCACTTTTACTGAAAGGATTTGTAATATTGTACAAAAAAAAAAAACGAGACAATTGAAGTACCAAGAAATTTCCTTTGACTCACGGAAAATGTGAACGAGATCTGCAAAACAGCAGCCCTTTCTTCTTTTGAAGAGTTTCATGCCTGTATCATACCATCAATGAGATAACAGCGAGTAGGTTTATGTAACGCTAAAAAGAAACATCATGACACAGACTGTTTGAGATTGCCGTTTTCATGATGTAAGGTGATTTTTTATTTTTTTTTATAGACACAAAGTTTGAAATCTTGGCTACCAAAAAAAGCTGATTTGTTGATTATATTTGCAAAAAAAAAAAAAAGATGAGTTCATTGATGAACCTGCCATTAAACTGTCTATTATAAGCTTTCTGTTGAAGTGACCAAGTGTCGTTTTTATTTCAGCGGAGTCAACGCATGAAGTCAATGGTACATCGGAAGAAAACATCACTGTTAAATTTACTTTACAAGACCCTGTTATCATCAAAATCTCTGATAAACCTAGTCTGTACAAAGATAAGAACAAGATAGGAAGTTGTTATTTTTGAAAAAAAAAAAAAAAGATGAGTTCATTGATGAACCTGCCATTAAACTGTCTATTATAAGCTTTCTGTTGAAGTGACCAAGTGTCGTTTTTATTTCAGCGGAGTCAACGCATGAAGTCAATGGTACATCGGAAGAAAACATCACTGTTAAATTTACTTTACAAGACCCTGTTATCATCAAAATCTCTGATAAACCTAGTCTGTACAAAGATAAGAACAAGATAGGAAGTTGCAAACAAATCAGCCCTTGTAAAGAAAAGTTTGCACTCAGTGATGTGGAAAACTGTACTGTCACACTACACATCACAAATCTCACACTGGAAGATGAAGGAACATATCATGTTGCAGTGTATTCGGAAGGTGCTATCCCTCTTATTGAGAGCAATAGAATTTATATTAAAGTCACATTAAGCAATACAACAACAGGTATGTTTTCTCTTAAAACCTCAGTGTTATACAGAATCCAATTTTTTTTTTTTTTTTTTGAGTGAAATACTCGTATATATTATGTGCTGTGCTATTGTAATTGTCGGTTTGCATTTTTACATGAGTAAAATGAATGTTTTATTTATAGTAATATTAATACGATTAAACAAGTGTTGCATACCATTTTAAAAACAAAGTGATTTTTCTTTCAGAAACTACAACCACAGCTGTGCATGAAAATGTAGTGACTAATTCACCTAAACTGGAGCTATCGGAACAAAAACCATTCTTCATTTTCTTCAGTGCATCAGTCATAATATTTATATGTCTTTTTGTGGGCATATTGTGCTGGCTTTTTAGGACCTATCCAAGAAAACCAGGTAATGTAGAATTGTTGCATTGAAATTTTGAATCAATTTTCTTATATTTTATGCTATGAAACTTAAAGATATGGGTGATCTTAAAGATATGTTTTTTATTTTTTTTATTTTGTACATTAGACATATGTTTTTAAGTGGTATTGAATTATATTGTGCCATCTTATGCTAAATTCAGAACTTTTATTATTATACACTACTGTTCAAAAGTTTGGGATCAGTAAGATGTTTTTAGAAAAAAATCAATACTTTTATTCCGCAAGGACGCATTCAGTTGATCATAATTGAAAGTAAAGACATCAATAATGTTACACAAGATTTCTATTCCAAATAAATTGTCCAGAAAAAAAATCCATAATGGTTGCCACAAAAGTACGAAGCAGCAAAAACTAATAATTAAAATGTTTCATGAGCAGCAAATCAGCATATTAGAGTCATTTCTGGAGGATCATGTGACACTGAAGACTGGAGTAATGATGCTGAAAATTCAGCTTTGAAATCACCGGAATAAATTACATCTTAAAATATATTCACATAGAAAGAAGTTATTTTAAATTGCAATAATATGTCACAATATATTTTGATCAAATAAATGCAGCCTTGATGAGCAGAAGAGACTTCTTTCAAAAACGCTTAAAAATCTTATGAACTCTAAACTTTTGAATGGTAGTGAATGTTAGTATATAGTAATGCTTTCAGAAAAGTAACAGGGTTTAAGATTTACAGATTAATATTTACAAGCCTTGTGCTCAAAATCGTTAAACTAGATGCTTTTTAGATTTCTACAAATGTCCACTTCTTAATTTCCGGTAGCTTTCAAAACCACGGTAACAGGGTTGACATTTAACGATCGTTCATTACTGTAAAACATCAAATAAAACGATTCATGGAGTAGTTCATTGCTTTTAAAAGGGAAAACAAATATGGTAGTAGACACATTTGATACACCGTATTTAAAAAAAAACACACATTGTATCACATTGTGTTACAAATCAAATCTAAAATAGAGGGGAAAAAATATAGTCAAAATGTCTGAAAAGGACATTTAAAAAACATAAATATTAAATTAAACTAAAGTACTTTAATTCAAATAAGTAAATGTGCAGATTTACTAAAAGAGCAAGAAGTCCCCCACACATCTTCATGACAAAGACGCAGAAAAAATAAAAATAAAAAGCTACTCAATTTTTAATGTGTTAAAAAAAATTGTGTGCTGATTGTAACTGTACTGATTCTCAGATGCAGAAAACCCACCAGTTCACAGCAACCGATCAACACAACTGGTATGCCATAGCCTCTTTATTTCATTAAATTACACTTTCAAACTTATTACATTTCAGCTTTGTTTTCTTCACGTTTTGTACGTTACGGCCTGGGCTGTTAGCAGGGGCAGTGTGGGACATCCGGGGCTGTGTTTGTCAGCTGTGTGGAGTATGGGGAGTTAGACTTTCAAAACAGACCTGAAAGAGATGACAGAGTAAAACTTGCCGAGGCGACATCAAAGGCCCAGGACGGAGTGGAATATGCTGCCATCATTTTCCCTCAGCAAAAACAGCCACCGAGTGGGCGGATGAGAAATAAACAGCAAGTACCTGCTATTAAGTGATAGTCATAAAACTCATAAAACCATGTATTGTCCACTAAAGTGAGTCTGTTTTAACGTTTGCTCATGTAAACCTAATATATACTATTTGGGAGTTATGCAGAGTGAGTAGAAATCTTAAGAATTTTTGATAATAATTACATGATCACAATCTGCCACATACTGTAAGTCATCTTCTCACTGTTAACGAGTTCATACTGATACTGTAAACGTGCCACAGAGTTTAACACTGAGTCATAGTGAGGTGCTAACCACAGAAGCCCCCATAAAGAAACCTGAGGTACTTGAATATATTTGTACAGTATTATGCAACCCAGGCTCATTGGAAAGAACGTGCCTAGCCTGCAAAATGATAGCATGTTGGTTTGTTTCACATTTCACAACACTTTCCAAGTGAAATGTCCAGTAAATGGAGGTGCAAAAAAAAGGACGTTCAATTCAATCTAAAACAGATGAACGTGAATTTGGCAACATTTTGTTGAGTTGGTTGTTGAATGTGAATCGCAGCAGTCCGTGAATTAAATGTCTGGTGTGTGGCGCTAAAAGGTTAATGCTCTACCGCATTTGCAGTGCTGGGTAGATTATCAACTGATTACAAATTACATGACAAAATTAGTAGTTATAACTATAGTGACATAATCCATTACATTACACATTTAAGGTAATATAGGACCAGATTTACTAAACTGGGCAAATCAGCGTGAGAGCGTAATCCCATAAAAGCGCAGATGGGAGTGGAAAGTTCTGCAGGTGATTTATTGACAATGCACATATTAAAGAACACAGACCGTAAATAATCATGCAAATACTTAGTAAATCATGTTGCGTGATTCATTTAAATACTCTCCTCATAAATTTTGCACTTGAAAGGTAAACTCCTACAAATGCATATGCCATAAGGTCAGTCGCAAAAATGACTGTCCACGCCTTCTCAGTGCTAATTTTTCACTGCATCTAGTAAATCCTGACAGTAGTTTTTTAACACCAAAAGGTGGTTTAGTAAATCTGGCCCATAATCTGCAATAATGGTAGGCTGTGAAATGAAAAAGAGGAATTAGGGCGAATCAACAAATTATGAATTATTTATTGCTATTGTGCGAATAATATGTAATCAAAAAGTAACTGTAATCTGATTATGTATATTTCACATGTAATATAATCTAGTTACAAGTACTTAAATTTTGGAATCTGATTACATAATCCAGATTACATGTAATCAGTTACTACCCATTACTGCACATTTGAAAATATCGTACTGCTACACCTAACAAAAGCAAACATGAGGTAAAAATGCATTTGCTGAAGCAAGCGTGCTATTTTATGTTGCTACTACAAGTCTTTGAGCACTTTTATCATGACTTGTGCATCACAGGACTTGTACCTGAGCAAGTGCAATGCTGTACCGGGTGCGCTACTGAGCAAATTTACTATGTGACATACACCATACATATGGAGCTAATTAAAATATGTGATGCAAATGCATCACAAATTACAATTCATGCACTATGGTGAAAGTGTTTTGAGGTCATAGTATCACTAGTAAAACTGCGTGAAAAATCTATAATCTGACCCTTTAATCATAATTTGTATGAAAAGGAATGAAAGGTGTTTTACTGTCACTAGTGTTCATTGCAACTGGAAACTGCAGCGAGGTGTATGCATAGGTACGTTTGTGGAGTTTTGCAAAAATATAGAGGCACATTTTTTCCAATAAGCCCATGTTGCAACCACAAGCATATTATTTCTCATACTTGCTCCATCTGTGTTATACACAAGAATAATACCTCAAACTGTGGGGCTTATGAGGAGAGGTTTGTGTGCTATTACATTTATTAAAAATAAGACTTGATAAAACTGGCCAAAAATCCCCAGGACTTGCATTCATGGAGGGACCTGAGTCATTTCCAGACCAGAGACTTGAGAGTGTGGCGGCGAGTTTTGCATTCACAGACACCACTCACGTTTTCTTCAGAAAATGTGAAGATGAGTTTTGATTTTGTCGTTCTCCTGTTATCATTTTCTTATGCGCTACTAAAATGCTTCTGTGTATCCTAACACTATGTATCTTAAAATGTAAGTCAGCAGTTTGTGTATTATGTAAATTGTGTATGCTGATTATTGCACTATGTGTGTAAATATTGTACTTGAATGAGTTCTGTACTACATATGAATGTATAGCCAAGAAGGAGTCTCATAAAATTTGTAAAAATGTTAAACACCGTTAAAAAAACGATATGACACAGCCTGTCATTTTTAAACACAAGCATCCTGATTTAACACTAAAAGCAACAGATGCACTTTACACACGCCAGAGAGCATTTGATTTTGTTTACTTCTGTGTGAAGGTTCATATGAGCACGGCCACGAAGATAACCTCAGATGTGGCTGCATGTGTTGGCAGTAGGAGTGTTGATGGAGTCATGTATACTGCGTTTTAAACCGAGAACCGAGAAAATAAAAACGTCTTTCTCTCAGAAATTTCTGCGAGCATCAAAACCTAACATTTCAAACCGCAAAATATGCAAGCACTAAGAGAACCATGACTCTAAGCTGCATGGCGAAGAGTTTCCAGCACCCACACAGGCTTGTCCTGAATATCTAATGAGAAACGCGATATGGCCTATTAAAAAAAAAAAAACAGTGGGCCGACCTATATTGACACGTAAGTTTCACTTATTTTCTGTTTATAGTGAAATGTTTCCTTTCAGTCAACAAAACCGTAGTGCTGGTTAAGCATTTATCATAGCTGCCACCATGCGTCTCATTTTCCATTGACGGCCTCGAGACTGCGTCCTGCTACTAACGTTAAGGTAGGTCTTTATTACAAAAATTAAGCAATTATATACGTAGTATGTTATGCAGTAGTAACAAAGTGAGTATTTTCACAATCACCTGAATCATTCATAAAACATTTGAAAAAGTAAAAACATTCTAAATATTAGTGAATATTAGATTTTAGTGGAATTCTAAAACCTAAGAGCAAAAGATTTATTTATATAGCTGTAGTTAATCAATTCTGAAAAAGACTCTTTAAAGCAGCGCTACAATAGTGTCATTATCCGGCTCAGTTCAGTTCAAGTTTTTCTTCTCATCCGACAATGTCATTTCTGTCAAATCGATAGCATAGTCCTTAACAAAGCGTCACTATACAAGTAAAATAACACTTGAGTAATAAGAGGTCAGTATACATTGAGGAATATAACACGACTGAAAGGCTGCATTGACCAATCAGCATCCAGGACAGGATATTTGGTGGGTTATAACATTAACAAATGTTAAATACTTTTATAATCATGCTAAACCTTATTTTTGGGTAGTAATTGAATACATGTATTGTGGATTACAAAATCAGATTCCAAAAATTGGTAAAACATTATTTTAAGGTGTCCTTGTTACAAGTTAAATGTATACTTACTATTGTAGTTACAATTAATTATACATAATTACATGCAAGTAACCCTAAACCAAACCCTAATCCTAACCCTATGCATATAGTAAGTGCATGTAGTTAATTAGTGTTACTCAGTACTTAAATTTATAATTACACTGTAACAAGGACACCTTAAAATAATGTGTAACCCAAAAACGAAGTACTTGTAATTGGATTACATTACATTTTAAAATGTGCATAATCAGATTACAGTTACTTTTTTATGGATTACATCAGTACAAGATATTCACACAGTTGATTCTTCCTATTTTTCCCTTTTACATTTTTCTTTCTAAAAAAAATTATATACTGTCATATCATTTAGCTTTGGATATTCACTGCATAGAATGGCTGTGTAAATGTAATGTAAATGTATTTGCGATCTATGCTTCTGAATTTCAATTATACCACATATGAGACAAATAGTTACGCAATTTACTAAACACTGCTGATGTATAACTGACAAAAATATTTAAAACCTGGAAGACTTTCACCATGTCATTGCTATTTTCATGTTTAGTAATGTTTGTTCATGTGATGCAGAGATTCCCAAACTAGTCAGTCAAACCCCTTTGGCCTAAAATATTTACTTGTAGCCCCCTGTGATTTAAAGTTAATATTTCAATAATTTAACACCACATTCACATGTTCACAGTTGTCTCTGATCAAAATTAATGTAAAAGTAATCCAAAAGTAGTCCGAATACATTACTTGAAATGAGTAATCTAGATTACGTTACTGACTACAATTTTCTGTCAGTAGCTGAAGACTGCAATTTGTAAGTAATCTACCCAGCATTGACTGTTGTGAGCCATGTTATATTAAGTATCTAAATAGTATGTACTTACTTTTAAATTAATTATTTGATACAGTGCGCTTATTGTGTGCATACGCGTTTTTACATAGTAAAAAACCCTCCTGTAGTTACATATACAACTGATTTCTGTAGTTACATCTATAATTACACTTAATCACACAAAAGTGTTTTGCCATTCAACATAAACACAATAGCTACATTGTACCTAACATTTTTCGGATAAGTAGTTAAAGACACCAAATGAAGTGTGACCGACTGTTGTCCTACGCATCTGATTTCCTTCATACTTCATGTCATCTACATCTGATTTCCTTCAACTCATTACTGTGGTTTATTTAGCAGTCGTGACCAGCTGACTGTACATTGTCACTTACTAATTGAGATCTGTGACTTCTAAGATAAAACACTTGATATTAGATTACACATGTTTAAATAAGAAAACCCCTTTACCCTTTGCATATACCATGTTGTCCAGTAGGTGGAGTTAAACTATTACAATCGTTTCTTCCTGTAACTCTCTTAACGGTTTCTTCACTGTTCATGTTGATTAGACAGTTGTTTATATAACAAATTGTGCGCAGTTTCTCAAAGAATTCAGAAAAATTGATGTTTAGTAATAAAAACGTCTGACCACTGTTATCTTAAATTATTTGATATACAGTAAATGTCTAGTTAATATTGTTTGTAGTTTGTAGATAGGTTAAATACATTGCAATACAGTTTTAAAGTAATGTACAATGTTTATTTACACACCCATTTCAACTTTTTATTAGTTCACTGAATAACCTAAATTGATTGATTTTTTGATTATGAATCCACTGTAAGGTTCTCCATTCGTATACAGTAAAATAATAAATACCATTCAAACATTATTACTGGCCATAAGTAACTTATTCTGCCGTCGTCCTTATTCACCGTGTCTGTTACTTTGACTTGTAAAGCAGTGTTCAAGCTTGTTGTAGAAAACAGATACTTAGGCTACTTTCAGTTTCGTTTTTAGTGAAAGGAGAGGTTAGCTGTATATATAGTGGATGATAACAAGGCAGAGCATCGTTCCTTTGAGATCTCTGTGAGGAAACAGACATGATATCACTGTGGAACATTTCTTTACAGGAGAAAATAAGTGAGCTTCATGACGACACCTGGAACATTGAAATCGATGAGACTATTGTGGAACACAGGCCAGCTCGTGATTGGCACCAGTACATTTCTGGCTCCTTTGCACAGTAAGAGCACAACTTTACCACACTAAAAGATATCAAACATTGCTTTCCACAATGTGTGTGCAGACTGGGTTAAGATTTTTGATGCATGTATCAAATCTGTCGTATGCTTCATTGTTTATTTAGTGGAGTATTTCTGGATTCTCAATTTTTCACTATTAATATTCAACTGCTAGACATCATAAAGTGAGGTATCTGAATGACTTGATGGTCTATAAGTAAAAAATAATGAGATTTGTAAAAACAATACATACAATACAGTTCCATTAGTTAACGTTAGTTAATGCATTAACTACAGTAACTAGCAATGA